CGATCATTCCACAGAATCCAGAAGCAGAAAATGAATGAATTTTCTGCTTGAAGGATGTATAAGGAATCCTATTAATAGAATTTTCAATTATTGTGCTGTAGTAAGAGGAATCATAAACACATTTACGCGATAAACTCAAACCAAATTATTTATGTTACTGTGATTATATTGGTACTCGATTGAGGCAGCTAATGCCATTGAAAATTTGTTAAAGAAATTCACTGTAAATTATAGATTCCGAAAAATTATAAAATCGTTGTGTATGCATATAAATATAATATAAGATAAATTAGTTATACAAGAAATTAAATAAATGAATAGTAGAATAATCGAGCACAGGAAAAGGTATCGAATCGCCGATCGAAATTGGCCGTCCGATCAGAAACAGCCGGAGATCGTTTCGATTCGTCGAAACTGTGCTCCCCATCGTGATCGGCGAAGATGAAAATCTCTTGTTACGTGGATCACCCTGTATATAGGTGTAGAGTATAGAGACACAGAGAAACTCGGCCGGATCTGTAAAACTGAAGGCTCGTGGACAAAAACCTGACCTCTCGAACAACTGTGCGCCATGTGTGCGCCACTTGCGCGCTCTCTTCTCCCCATTCTCTTTCTTCCCAACGGCCTTCTCACTCCCTAGCGATCTCCTCTCGTTTCTCCCTAAGCGCGCGCTCGCCTCGCAGCCATTTCTCTTTCACAAACTTCCCGATCGCGATTAATCAGGTAAAAGCGAGTCCGTCTCTCGGCAATGGAATCCAACGCCCGATGGAAAACGCCCTTGCTTCGCTGCGCGAGAGCACGCGCACTCTTTCTGCACCAAAAAGATCCAATTTGTTTAAACATTAAATGGTCCGGATAATTAATTGAACCGTGGGAAATTACTCGATAAAATTATATACGTACTCAAGAATTTTATTCGTTTATTTTAGTTGCAGCCATTGTTGCTTTCTTTTGCGGAATTGTGAACGAAAATACACATACGGTTTCAAAAGATGATAGGTTTAGATAGTTTTTTATGCATCAATATTTTGATAATTTAAAAATTAATGAATCAGAAACCATAAGTATTCGACTGAATTTTTAGGACAAATTTAGACGTCTGTAGAAACGTGAGAAAATTTTTTCTAGGACTGATATTACCGTAGATTTCAAGATTCGAGCTTTCTCTTTGCAACGACCCCTAGACACTTGGAATACGATTTTTCTCCATGGTTTTATACAGCTTTTAGCGAAGGGTGTGCACCTGTCTCAATAATAACACCACAGTTGAACTTGTCTCTTGTTCCTATTGCATCAAACGATTAAAAAAAATCGTAGATCAAGTTTTAACGAGTCGTTGTAAAGAACAAACTGCAATCTTCGAATTCATAGTAGATCGAATCACGAGAAACATTTTTAAAAGATTTCAGAGCTGTTTCAAAGTCGTATCGATTTAGAGATGAACGTCTCTTCTATTCGCTTCGTTTGGAGAACAGCGGAATCGCCTAATCATTTCTTTATCTCTATGGTGTGTCGATTTTAGTTTACTATGCTTGCATTGATCGTACTGTGTCTCAAGGTAAGATTTAGGAAAAGTACCGGATCGATGTGAGTCAACGGAAAAATATACTTTTTTTTTTAATTATCGTCTATCTCGATGGCGTATTTCGTGGATCGTCTTTGCCGTAGCGGGAATGAAAATACAAGTTCGGTAAACAGCCGTATGAATCATTCTCTACAGAAACGTTGGTATATACATATATGCAATCGGTCCCCATTGGTTCTGACAAATTGTCGAACGAACGCCGGCGTTCTCGTTCGCTTTTGTATAGGTAGCCGGGCTAAAGGTTGTAAGATACGGTGAAATTCGAGCGGACCGAGGCGGGAAAAAACGCAGGCTTTCCGGGAGAAACGATAAACCGTGTGCGGACGACGATAAGTCGCCCTCTCATCGTGAACATCTAGCGAACTATTCGAACAGACAACAACAAAAAAAAGCGACGAAAAAAGAGAAATAAAGCCAAGGGCTCACGGCGACAGAGAAATATTATGAAGAATAAGAATCTCGGAGCCACGAATGTTACTACGGTGAAACGTCATTCGGAGTCTGTTGATACGAAACTAGAAAACAGAATTTACTGTTTCAAAGACGAGTTAAGTTCATTCTGATAACGACAACAAATAGAGGATCTTTATATAAAATAGAATTATTTCTTCTCTTAACAACTTAGTTAGTTACGAATAATTGGCTTGAATTTTTCAAAACTTATAATCCGTACACTGTTTTGTGTTGCGCGTACTCATTTTTGCCAAAAGTGTGAAAGATCCAGTTTTTTATGATAAGGTAGTGGTTACCACTAAAAATTACCATATTATTTCTCGATATAATTTTTACGTTATTACGTTAATAACAAAACGATCATACAGAATAAAAATACTATAGCTCGAAAAAGATATCACTAGGGCACAATTAAAAATGGTTATATCATTTCTTAAAAGAATTTCTACGTTATTAAGATCTATATCTAATAAATTGTTCAAAATGTAAGTAAATGTATGAGCAAATGTGATTAATATCATGCGTATAAAGCGAAAATAATCGTAGAAAATGTAAATGCCATAGTAGCTTAAAAAAATGTCTTGATTTTGGAGTTAACGTAGCTACAGGTGCAACGGGTTAATATTAATTAGTTATTAAACCATCTTAATTTTGTACGAAGCATTTCTGTACGGATTCGCAGCAGTGATAACAAATTCTACGCAAAATCAAAATGTCTTACGTCACTTCTTCTGACACTCTTGCTGCAAGTTTCACCTACCTACACCTTCGTCACAAATGCATATAGTCTGCGATCTAATCATCATTGTTAAGAGAATTGAAGAGACAAGTACTACGATATTTTACAGCATCCGAAAGATCGCTTTCGAAGCAGCTACGTAAAGAAGTCACGGAAAGAATTGCGTCGAATTGGAGCGCGGCGATGAGGAAAAGGTCTGGACCACGCCAGACGTTTATTATACGTATCTCCGCTGATTAATATATAGTCGGAGATAAAGGCGGGTTCGGGCGCGATTACGTTGTGCCCGGAGTCGAGGCACCAGTCTTTAGAACCCGATAAGTCAGATAAATTCCTTTCGTGCCAGATATATTCCCCTTTACCGGACCGTGGTCGAAAAACCTGCGGGAACAACGGGCCTACACAAAACTGCGTTACCAAAATCCTTCGTCCCTTCTGGACCTGTCGTGCGATCCATAAGCCGTGGATACTCGTGCAAAGTATCATTTCTGGCCATTGTTTCGCGAATACAGTGGAACCTCCTAACTATTTTATAAATGCAGTAGAAATCTAACTGTTTCATAGGTGCAGTAGAACCTTGATTATTTTATAAATACAATAGTACCAGGATTAATTATCTTATGAATCGAGTAGAACCTTGACTAATTGAAGTTGCTATAGAACCATTTTGTAAATACAATAGAAATTTGACTATTTTATAAATACAGTAAAGCCGTGACTATGTTGTAAATACAGAAGAACCTTGACTATCAAATCAAAATAATAGAATGTTGCCTGATTATTTTCTAAATACTACAGAACCTGCACCAACTATTTTACAAATACAGTAGAACCTACACCAACTATTTTATAAATACAGAAGAACCTCGACTATCCGCGGACTCTCGATCTCGTCTAAGATGATCTACTTAATATCTCGCATCAATTCTCGAGAAAGTCGCAACCGAAGAGAAAGTAGCACCGCTGTAACCCGGCGGTTTTCGAATACCTCGGCATTCCGAAAAAATCAGATCAATACAGAAGCCGTAGATAAACATCCCCCGAGTCCGCTAGCGTCTCTGTCGCGTCCAGATTTCATCTGCCAGGACGTACTCTCCCGCCTGGTCTACAAGTCAAAAGGCGTACGTGATCGAATGAGTGGCCAAAATCGGGATCCTGTCGATTATCTGGCCGCGTACGTCGGAAACCCGTAGCTTTCTCGTACCTACGCCCGGTGATTCACTCTCCTATTGTCCGATCCGCGAGCGAATGAAATAGAGAAAACGAGAGAAAGAGATAAAATGATGCGGAGTGGAAGTGGAGGAGAGGGAGACGGAAAAACCAGGGTGGAAAGATAGGCAAGAACGTGTGCAGTCAGTCGTTCGTAGACTAGTCGAGACTCGGCTACGCCGAAGATAAAGAAACACGGTTGCGAATCACGCCGCGGTGGCGCCTAATGGGCGGCAACAAAAAGGGACACGGTGTGGTCATCACGCCGCACCGGTGTCGGGGAATTCCCCTCCGTCGGAGACGCACCAACCCCACCACCGATACCGCGAGACTCCCACTCGACAACACTCGGACGGGCTCGGACACGCTCGGTGATCTCCGCGTCATTGCTGGACCCGCCACGCCGGAGATCGAGCAGTGCTGTATCTACCAATACGGCCTCCTACACCTCCAGCACCCCTCAATTACCCTGTTCAAAAAATTTGTTCGTATCAACATCTCTTATTCCTTGGAAGTTGAATCACTTCAGCATCAGATTGAAAAACTAATTTTGATTAAGTATTTAGAACATCAAATTTGATAATATCAGAATGTGAAAGGGTTAAAAGAATCGTCATTAGACAGCAGATTTTATGCATTTATGGTAAAAATTGATAAGAGAAACTCAGGATAGCGGAGACGACACAAGAATTTAAGTGTATCGTTATGTTACTTTCAATTGATTAGAACTATTCGAAAACAAGAATACACATTTTTATTTTGCATAAAGATCCGCTCTACCAACACTGGAATACATTGCGAAATAATTAAAGAATTTTAGAGTTAAGAGTATATACAGTGTGGGTCACTACGGCTTAAATAAATTATAAACAAGGATCTAAAATAGCAGATCAATAAATGATGGAGTATCTTTGCAATAAATTCAAAGAAAGTGATAACTAGACTGCAGATTTTTGTGCAAAATAAAAATTGTCTACATCAATTGCAAGAAATAGAAACTAAGTAAGAAGTTAATTCTTCTTTTAATAATTTTATCGGATTAAAAATAATACAATAACATTTCTAAATTCTTGTAATCTTTCTACTACTTTAAATTGAAACAACTCATTTTTGTCACGAATGCATAAAATTTGTAATTCAGTGATATGTGACTGTCTGAATAGAGCCAAGAAAACTACCCTAAAGTGCTCGACCGCAGCATCCCCAAAGACTCCACAGTTTTAGTCTCGCAGACGTAAGTGTGCGATGTTAAACAATAAAAACCGCAGAGTTCATAGGCCAGTTAGAGTATCGCAACTACTGGACCAAGAAGAAAGTACACGCGCGAGAATCGGCATAGTCAATGAGAGAATGCGTGCAAACGCGTTCAGAGCAGGGAGCCGATCATTTAGGGCCAGACGCGCGGGCACGTTGAAACAAAAGCTGCGATGCAAGCCTCGTATCGACAGCAACGTTGATTCGTAAATTAGTGCGAATTCGTTCTCGTTAATCTCGCGAGATGGGTTCAATCGAACCTGGAAGTCGCGTCTATCGACTGCGTTACAAAGCTCGCTGCGACATACAGGAAAATAATGCGCAGTTGACGGCGACGTTTCGTGGAGGTGGCGAAAGGATTTATCGCGGCGCGATATGCATTATTTTGAAAGTCATCTATCGCTTGAACTCCCGTGTTCGGTCATGGAAGACCAGTAAATAGTACGACTTCTTGGTCTCTGTCCGAACTGAATTTTCTTCGACGAAGTATATACGTTGGGAATCGTCATTAAGCTTCATTTATTTGATGAGATGCTTCATCAGCCGGACACGTTGAACCACGTTACGAGCTTTAACTAATTCCAGTCCAACACAAAGTCACCATTTCAAAGAATTGAGCGAGGATAGCGAACGTGACGAAGATGAAAACGGAGCCGAAATAGAGGATCCGAGCGACGATGTCTGACGATTTACGTTAGATTCGATGCACCTAGCTCAGGCTAGTAGAGGAAAGAGGATCGTGCGAACAAGAACGAAAGGGTGCTCGCCGCGCACAATTTTCTTGTGTACAAGTACTAAACGAGAAGCGTCGGGCTGCGATCATTTAAACTCGGACTTATATGCCAGCGAAAGCATAGCCGAGACCATCTCCATTCAACGAGTACCGGGCAATTAGAGCCAATAGATGGCGACCCTCTCTCCCAAAGGTCTCGTCTCGAGGTGTTGTGTTTCTTGGTATCTCACGAGTTGAAACCTTTCTCAACTGGCATTCACGCAGAGTTCTACGGACCCCTCTGGAGCGCAACAATTGCTGGAATAGTTAAGAATATTCTCGTAGCAACGGTGTCACCGTGCTGGAAGAAAGCATGTCCTAGAACATCGTCGCGGGAAACCAGCCTTACTTACGCCAACCGAAAACAAGGCGAAGTTATGATCGTTTATAAAAGGTCGATTACTCACGACCATTAGTATTTTTCCGTTGGTATTTTGGGTTTTGTCCAGCTATGTTTGAAACACCGACCGGCGTTGCCCAGAGAGCAACGATCTCGCTTCCCCGATCGAAACACTTGACGCGTCATCAGTGGAGCTTCAACGTTTTCCTTGTTCGAAGCGGAGGGAGGACGAGGACGAGAAAAATCGTGGACTCGGCGGAAAGAGGGCGCTTGTTTCTACATCGTGGATCGTTCCGCGGTTAACTGGCTACAGAGGTGGGCTTCGTTCGCGTTTGGAAAAATCTGCACCTGTTGAGCCCTCTTCTAGCCGCAGTCTTCGTCAATGCTAGGATGCAACAAGACGACCGTTCGGGAATTTTCAACAGATTATTCGTTTCTGTTAGCTTTCAATTCGTTCCAATAATTTGCCGCATGATCATAAGTTCCAACTGAAGACACGACACGAGTTCGAATTGGTTCGAACTTGTGCACGTGTGTTCGACCACGTTCGACCTGCCAGCCAGTAGCCTGATCACTGCGACAGCCTCCGCTGATGCAGCTCCCGTCTCTTGCGGACATTGTTTCGAAGCGGGCCCTTCCCTTTCATTCAGTAATTCGCAGGCAGCTGCACACTAATAATAGTATCGGACACTGCCGCCAGTGCTCGCCGTCTCTGCTTTCGTCGCGACCGTACGCACATTAGCCGTCAATATCGTCGGAAACGGCGATAAGCTTACCTTGCCTCCCCGTTCCGTCGCTACGCTTTCTTACGGACGCGGCTGGAGCAAAGGTCGACTTCGAAAAAGTCAACCTAGAAGCTTTTCATTCGAAACCGAGGACTTAGCAGGGGTTGGGAAGACGCGATGGGATTCGCTTACTTTGAAACCTGGCGATGATTTAGCAACCGTTATCGCTAGGAAAGAGACGATCGAATGGAAAGTTTTACTGATACCGTCGCGACGTTCACATAGGTTGCATCGTGAATAAGAGCCGCTTGTCTACACCGAGCGTATTATATACCTCATGGCGGTGAAAAGTCAAGGGAATCGACCAAGATAACCGCACGCGCTACAGAACGTTATCTGGTTCCCCCTTCGTCCGCGAGGTACGTGGATCAAGTGTTTTGTTGCGGAATTGCTCTCGAGATCTTTAAACGGTCCGCAACGAGTCACTGTTCGCGGAATTCACTCGGTATTCGAAAACAAACTCGAGCGTCCGTTACTACCGATTACCAAACTCACCCTCTATTTTTACTGATGTCCGCGTGCTAGGTCCTAGGTCAAGATGTTAGTTGCATTGTCCCTTCCAGATCACTCGGTGTTGTCTGCACGCTAGTTCCTAGATTCAGATCGTTGTCACTTCATATCACCTCTCCGAATTGCTGGCTGAAAGTAGAGTAGACACAGGGTAAACTGGGGTATATGTATAGCGATATTTTTTCAGTTGTCTCTAAAACGGATGCCGTTTCATCAATTTGATCGAATAAAATTTTAACCAGTAGCGTTAAAATTCTAATTTTTCTAATAAAAAAACTCAATCGATTAAAATAAATGTAGTGGAACAGGCAAGCATTGCTATGTTTGAAAGATCGCGTGTTGTGTACTTAAGTATGATTCAAAAGTGAATAGATTATCGAAAATGAAGGTACGTGATCTCGAAATGATTCATTATCAGAATGTAAGCATTCAATTGTTTTTTATAATACGTGTTATTTCTGCTTACTGAAGGTAGGTAAATTATTATTATTATTTTCTGAGCATGAGCTCATATTTCTTAGTAAGTTAATCCTTATTTTCGTTTTGTTTCCCAATAAAATCATAATTTCATGCCGAAAGATGAAGACTGAAATCAGTTTTATGTGCGTGCGTTGTATAAATGATTCTGAGAGCGATTAATACAATAAACATAACCATTAAAACGGATGTAATAATTTAAAAAGATAAGAAACTAGTTTAATGCTATTTCTATTTATCTTTTGTATTTTAGATAGTGTTTTTTAACTATTTCAGTAAAAATAGTGTTAAGCAGACCCATCACGGAGTAATCCGAGTGTCCACTGAAAATGCACCTTTATTCTTTTCTATACAATATTTCTTTTTCACCTTTCCTCTGCCTAAATGCTTGACCTAACATTACCTCCACTACACAGTCTCATAGCAGTCCAATATTCTGATTTAGCAAACAAAATATAAAAATATGACGGAGTTACCGAGTGTACCCTATTCCAACACAATTCGTTGGGATCGTCCTATCTAAGTAAATCTATTACATCGAGCATAGACTCCGATCGAAACGAAGGTACCCGAAGTCTCCTTTCGGGCAATTCCGAGCAATTAACGGGCCATCACGAGCGTGTAGCACGTGAAGGGGAAGTCGTAGAAATAAATGCAATATCGGCGCGACACGCATCCTTCCTTTCGCCAGATAAATAGCGGGGCAATCACGTTCGTGAGTTAATGGGTCCAAAAGATACCGTGTTTCCGGTGAACGTATGCGTCACGATAAGAAGCTCGGCGATGGTCCACGAGCCATTGCTGCTGGAAACAACGGCGCGGTCCTCTTGTTCCATCTCTCTCCCGCTCTCTCTCTCTCTTTCTCTCTTTCAATCTCTCCTGTCTCTCTTCCATTCTCCCAGTGTCCCCTTTGTGTAGCCGTCGCGGTGGTGGCTGGGAATCGATATACCGTGGGGCTCCCAGTTGGCCGGCTACGTTCCTGACCTTGATTGCGGCCGACGCACACGCCGAGATGCGACGCAGGTAGGGGATGTTGCGACGCATGGGCAGACGAATATATAGTACGCACCGAATCGCTCGAGGATAACATCTCGTATCCCAGGGAAGGCTAGCGGCGACTTCTGCCGATCCGGTGGGGTGTAGAGGGGGGCCATGGATGCGGGACAAGGGGCGGGAAGGGGGGACGGCCGAGAGACTGGAGAGCAAGGAGAGGGAGAGACGAGAGGTTGGACGGTTGCGCGGAGAGGAGAGGGGCTCCAGCGTGTCCGTCATAATGCCTAGAGGGGAGAATAGGAGAACGGTTGGAACGAACGGTTACGTGGCTAGAGGGTGGAGGGACGGATTGGAGGGAGTCGTGGCAGAGGTAGCCGCGATGGTGGGGAGGGTCGAACAAGGCGAGGGAGATGAAGGAAGAGAGAAGAAGCATGGGGGCGGTGGCTGGTTCGCTACGGCCGCCATCACCATCCGTCCCATCCTATAGTAAACTCCGAAGCAGCAGTCCCCAATCTGTCTCCATGTGTGTTAGTTAGGACCGTGTTTTACCGGTGCTTGCTACTCGAAGCTGGTAGTAACACCGACATTTCTGCCTAGTCCGCTCTCTGCGATGCCCTAGCATCAGCTTCATCCCGACACCGTCGTCGCGGCTCTCTTCCCTTGTTCCTTTCTTCTCTGTCCGTCTTCTCTTCCCGCTATTCTTTACCCACCACCTCGGTGTGTCTTGTCTCGTCGGCTCGTCCAAGTGTGCTCCGCTTTCTTGTGCGTGCGAGGGAACGCGTGTATACGCGAATGAAAAGAATCGGCCGAGAAGAAGGAGAAGGCGGCGACGGAGGCGGCGGAGGCGGAGGAGAAGCAGGGAAAAGAAGAGGAGCAGCGTATCGCTTTCTGCACGGCCCGTTTCCAAGGATATAACCGGTGTGCGACCGTCTTCTTCCTCCCTTTTTCGACTCGCTCGTTCTTCCCTTCTTTTATCCAGCCGGGTTTCCACGACAGTGTGTATAGTGTGATTTGTTGGGTAGCCGCCAGTGCATCGTATAATAGCTTCCTTCGATATACGCCACGCCGAGATCCTTCGCCAGTTCATCAGACAAGACAACGGTAGATAGTGAAAGAGAGAGAGAGAGGGAGAGAGAGAGAGAAACCATCGCAGAGAAGCCTTTGTGCGAGACCGCCTTAGCTCGAGAGCAACGATGGCGAGTTGACCACACGCAATAAAAACAGAAAGAAGAGTTACCCTTTATGTCCACCAAGAGTCCACGAAGGGTCCTCGCAGTTGTCCTCGTGATTCGCTAAATCTTCATCTCCGAGAGCCGATCTCCTAACGAGCCCGAGACGCGTCCCACCCGAACGGTCCTCTCGAATTATCGTCGCGGAGTCGTCACTTGTCGGACGAGGGGAATGAAGGAACGGACGGACCATCCGTGGACCTCAGCGCTGCCGCCCGCTGGAATTCCTCCTGTCGTAGTCTGCACATAACCTCTCTCTTTCTCTCGTCCCAGCTCGGTCGTCTCCTATGCCCCTCGCTCTCTCTCCTCTCCGCCTCTCTCGCACTTCAACCCTGTTATCATTCTGTCTCTCCTTCTCCCTGTCCGTCGGCCACCGACACTTGGCTCGCTCTCCTCTATTTCGCATCGAAGAAGAAACGTGATCAACATTCCCGTGTTTCGTTGAACTCGACGTGCGCGCAAGTGACACGTTTGATGCTGGTCCGGGATCTGGAGCCGATCTGCGGCGATCGAGGGACACGGTGATACACGGAATATCTGCGACCGATCTCTCTGTCTCGTTCATATCTGCGACCAAACGAACGCAAACGGGGGCTAACGATGAACCGTCAAACGATGAACCGCCGAACACTGGAACGTCCGCGAATCTGAGGAACCTTGGTCCGGTCGGTCGCGAGAAAAAAGGAACGCGCGTTTCTCTCGTTCGGATACGATCGAAGCGATCTAGCGGATCTTTTCGGAGATTTTTTTACTTCTGTCGCGGCCACCGCCGGCGCCCGTCGCTTCCTAATTACGGCGTATGTATTTATCGAACGGTTCGAAGGAGACGCGGCGAGCAAGAGTGCAACCATGCGTCGCTGTACCTTGAAACGTCACAGATCACGCTGGACGAACTCTTGAGCGGGATCGACGGAGACGTGTCGCAGGCTGCTGGAACATTTCACCTGACGGATCAGCTCTACAGACGCAACAATTACCTCGGGGAGCACACTGGTCCGTGCTCAAGTGAATATGAACATGACTCTCGTCCGAAATACATTCAAAGGTGAGTCACTCTTTTTGCAAGCACTCTTTCTCACTCTCGCATAACCTGTACGCGTGTGCACCCGAAGCGTTTCTTCGTTTCTCGCGGTACAAGCCCCGCGCGCACGCGCACTATACCGCGAATCGTTATTCCATTAAACGGCGTTTTATTTTGGGAATTATGAGTTTTATGCTGTTTCGTTGATTGACGATGGTCTCGGTGGTGGTTCGGTGGTAATCGTTAAAATTTGAGGGTCATTACTTTCAGTGGGAACGCTGGTCGAGGGTTGGTTTGCGTAATGGCGCGAAATTTTAAATCTAGACCGGAAACCGCACGTGTGTACCGGTACATAGTGTCGTGCTTCTTCAAACTTCTATGCTGTTTTGTTTCAGTCTACTAATTTGATTAATTCAGAGAATATAGTTTCATTTATCATATATGCATTCTAGATGTGATCTGGTTTCTTGGAACACCAAGAGAAAGTATTGTATTTTGTGTGTAGACGTCTCACAGAAAGAATGACATAATTTTTTAAAATGTACCAGATATATTTTACATAAATGGGATGCTCGCTCTTTTCTAAATTTTATAGAAAAACATCTTGTACTTTGTGACGTTTAAACGTGTTTCTGTAAACTCTGACCATCTTTTTTGTTAAGTACATAGACTTTAAGTAGAGGAATATTAAAAACTTCATTAGAGGTCCATTCTCTTTTGATGGATACAGCTTCTAAAAAGATCCTTTGTTAGGGCACCGAGAAGTATTTTAGACTATTTCAATTTCATATTTACATTTATATCCATTACTTTTAAAAACCTTGAATCAACAACTAATTTGCTATTTGCGATCTTAATTGTTAACCAAAAAGTTTTTTCTTCACAATGCCATTTAGTAAAATGTTTATTGAAATAAACATTATCCAAGTTGTTTCTCGTTTCTCTCTTAATAATAGGTGAGAATATAGGAATAGATAGGAAAGAAAAGAATAAGAAAGTAATAAAAACTGTAGCTCCAAGTTTACCATTGCAAGAAAAATGATTCAAGCCGTGTTTGATGCAACATAGTCATTTCCAAGTTCATTAGATTATTTCCGGTAGAAAAAACGTTAGAATAAAAATGATATTACAAGATAGTAGTAGGGGAGAGAAGAACAAGAAAGTGAACAAACGTTTCTTAATGATTATCATTGAAATAAAATGACTGTTCTTCAGCCAGTACAGTCATTGAAAACTTTTATTAACGCGTTTCTGGTAGGTAGTGACGGGAAAAAGCCAAGAAACTGAATAAATTGAAATAAAACACATATTACAATCAATGCAAACCCGACTAAGACTTAATTCCAGTAGCTAAGGTGTTAAAAATAAAAATTACATTGCATGTGAACGGAAAAACAGGGGAAATAACATTGCTCGGATGAAATTTTCATGATCGAACCTGCCAGGAGCCGGATCGTTCTGACTCTTGCAGAGTTTCTAGATTAGTGGACGCTGCACTTTGACCGCGCGGATCATGCTTAAGAACGTAAATTCCGTGCATCACGATGACGCCGTGGTTACAATGTGCTTTATCGTCGTATCGTAATCGTCGCCGATAGAATTGTTCGTTTTTGGGGCCCCGGCTCGAGCCGCGAGGCACCTACACGTGATTTCTGCATGCTCTTCGTAAATACCTCTTCGTAAATACGCCTGCGGTGCGCGCGAACGCTTTCGAGCCCACCCGAATACATACGCGTTGCATTTAACGCATGCGGCGATTTCGCACATGCGCGCCTATCTCGCGGAAATATATAGTTTTTAGCAACGCAACGTGCGCGATGCGATCGCGCAAAGTGCATTCGGCACTTTTCTTCGGCGAGCTCTCGTTATTCCATTCAACATCTGCAACTGATATGATCAATGATTCTCATAACTATGGACTCTGAGCTAATTGCATCTGCACCTAGTTTTGGATTTCCAATCTCTAAGCGGTATATGCAAAATTTATGCAATATAAAATTGATTTAGCTTAGTTGCAACAAATAGATTTGAAATAGAAATTGATTCTATTTTAAATTAAAAATTGGAGCACATACGAGTATATTGCAATAAAAGTGGCGTACAATCTCATTCAATTCAATCTCACTATTCCTATAAAGCAACACAAGTTGATCACTCTTAGTGCTCAGTAGAATCGATCCTGGTGATCAATCGTTTGAATACTATCAGAGTACTTAAGCACTATCAAAGTTACACAGCTACTGTCGGATAACATTCTCAGACATTGTAATTAGTTAGGAGTATACAATTATATGTATGCAGGACAAAGTTTTCAACACATTGTTTACATTTAATAATATCTAGTTTATTTAAAATTACTCAATTTAATTAAGTTTATCTATTTTACTTAAGGTTGTTTGGATTATTTAAAATTATTTAGTTTATTCACAGTTATTTATTTTAGTTTATTTACAGTAATTAATTTTCTTTAAAACTGTCTACTGTATGTAAAATAATTTAGTTTCTTCAAAATAATTTAGTTTAGTCGAAGTTAAATAATCCTCTGTGCCAGTCATCCGAATAATTTGACACCGATCTGGAAACAATATATAATTTTATCGAATTGCATTATATTCTTTTCACCAACACTTGCCACGAATGCATCAAAATCCGTGGTCTAGTTAACTCGCATCCGTCGCAAAAAGGTAGCATAAAGATCCGCAGCTTAAGGATGATCTGCGAAGTGTGTCGCGAAGATCCTCACACATGCACCAAGTCGGGAAAGTATTTTTTCCACTTCAAGATTTATGAGATCTTGCGATTTCCCGCCGATCCGAGCACGTTTCTTCTTTATCGCAGGAACGTGTCGGCGCCGCGTCACCTAATAACGATCCACGGACCGTTTTCCGTGATTCACGGATGCGATCTGCTGAACTTTAGACTCGTTCCGGTCTGTTCCGCTGTCGTGTGTTCGAAAAACAAATTCTCAGGCCGCGCTGCGCGACGGGGCTCATGCTTTAGATTGTTACGGAGCGGTAAAGTCGCGGTTCGCTTCGATCTGCGAAGACTCGTGTGTAGTCCTCGTACTTACAGTTGTACAGCTTACGAAACAATGGGATAGAGACTCTTTCATTTTCAAGCCAAGAAAATCTTCTTGCCATGTCGTGCAAGAAGGAAAGCCCAATAATTGCGTATATTGCGTATATAACGATTAACGATTAACAATTAGAAATGTCCAATGGTTTCGTTCTTTTTTCGTCTGATTTCCCCTTCATTATTGATGGGAAACGTAGTTAGCTCGTTGGATATTTACAAAAATTGGGAAAGAAAAATTAATAATTAACAATAACATACATATATATAAAATATTATATATACACATATATAAAATATAAATGTGTAAAAGAGATATTACACATATATGTGTGTATATAATAAATTTAATATATCTACATTACTACATTTATATTTGATATATTTGGGTATTGATATTAATAAATTCGAATTGTATATAGTTAAATCTTAAAAAAGACTAATGTGATCACGATCACCGGTGTAATTGGAAATTGACGAGGCCAAGATCAACGGTTTCCGAGTCAACAGAACCGATACGGGTTTACAATGTCGACGATTATTGAACACCCGACGGAGAGATCGTGCGAAAATATTTACCGATCGGACGTTCCCAGCGGCGGAAACCGCGGCTTCTATTTTCGAGACATCAGGTGGGACGTCGCGACGCTGTTTTCACGTCGTGGCGTCCCGGCGTCCCGGCGTCGAGGAAAGAATATCACCGTGCTCCTCCGCGTCACGTCGCGCCGCGATCGATTCGCGCGGGCTCCCGATGAATCGGGGCCGTAACTCGATCGCTTCGACTAGGCTCCTCGTTAATCGATTTTCCGGTAAATATTTGCACGCTGCGGCCGAACAACTGCTTGCTATCCGTTGTCCGGGGACTTGGTCCTGTTAATGGAGCACAGAGTAGTTCTTTGATCCAGGAATTCGAGAAAATGTCGGAGTCGATCTGTCATAGCAAGTCAATTGATTTCTTTTTTTTATTCATTTATTTATTCACGCGGACAGACTAGACACAATAGTATCATGGAATTCGGATGAGCCGAAAGTTGATGACGTGTAACAAAGTTACATGCTATATAGTTTTCGCCCTCTTTTCACCCTTTGAACTAGAAATTCAAGTTCTATTAACTTTATTTTGTAATTTAGAACGATGTAACAAATTTTAGTGCTCTTTGAGCAAATTGTTGTAAATTAGTTTTCGAATTCATGTGATATGAGAAATTAGAAAATTAATAAATGATTACATAATAAATAAGTGAAATAGAAATAAATCTCTACCGATGTGTAATTCTTATATTTTCACGTTATTTGATAGTAGAAGCATTTTCTAAGAGAGTTTTTAATCGTATAATCTGATAAGCGATAAACGTCGTCTTCTAGTTTACAAATTCGCAGATTATCGCCATTTCGAAATTGAATGGAAATAATAAAGAAATAACATTTAAAATAGTGTAATATGAAAAATGGTCATAGGTATGAAATAAAATCATGAAATAAAATAACATATTAGAAGTAAAATAATATATTATTTAAAATACTATTTCAAATAATATATATATGTCATCTCAAATGTAGTTTAATGGTTATAAATATTTGTCGAGGAAGTTGTTCGAGTTTCAGAAAAGACAATCGAAATCGTCGAATTCCTCAAGGAAATGTCCGAACATTCCGTCGATTTAGATAGAAGTCGCGCATGCCGATCGAACGTCGTGCCAAGAAAGTCCCGATCTTATGAATCGTATATCGATTGGTTTGCGAAATTCATCGGTCTCGAAATAAATCTTCACGGCGCGGCGCGACGCGTCGAGTCGCTTTCCTTTGGTCGCGCCGAATTCCCTGGCCCGAGTCTCCTGGGCTTCTTTTATCCGTCAGATCTACAACATGCGGCCTGTATGCACACGATCCAACTATGTATATCGTTTCTGTCGACGGATAAGATTCCTTGTATTCCGAAAAGATGAGAGACG